TTTTGTTTCCCGGCAAAGAGGATTTTGAATTTCAAAAACAAAATATATCAGAATTAAAAGATTTTCGCAAAAGCACAAGCAATCACACTACAAACCGCGCATTAAAAATTTCTTCACCAGATTTCTTATAAATTGTGATGTATCGATCTCTTCCCCAAATAAGAAAAATAGATAAAGTAAATAATGCACTAAAATAAAAAGTAAACCGAAAATTTTCAGCTCTGATAAAAATCTTTTGTTTCGCTTGGATTTCAGTATTCAAAAAAACAAAAAGATTAATATATCAGAATCAAAAGATTTTCGCATAAGCACAAGCAATCACAATACAAACCGCGCATTAAAATTTCTTGATTATTTCTTATAAATCGTGATACATCGATCTCTTCCCTAAATAAGAAAAATAGATAAAGTAAAATGATACACTAAAATAGAGAAGTAAATGAAATTCTTCAGTTCTGGTAAAAATCTTTTGTTTCGTTTAGATTTCGAATTTCAGAGGTTCGTATATTTCAAAAACAAAAGATTAATATTTTAGAATTAAAGATTTTCACTTAAGCACAAGCAATCATACTACAGACCGTGTATTAGAAATCTCTCAACAGATTTTATTTTCGCCAGATTTCTTATAAATAGTGGACCATTTAACTTGCTTATTATTTCAGATCCAAAACCGTTCACTATTATAGTCAAATAAGATTAATATCTTAATCAAACGCGTTTTAAAAAAAAAATTTCAATCAATAATGGAATTCTTACATGAGACTTCGTATGGCCCTGAAGAATCTAATGCTGATATCGAACAAGAAGGTACAGATGATGATGTTCTTCTATTTGACTGGAGTTCATTTGAAAAGATACAAGAAATAATCGCCGAATCTATTGAGGAAATAGATAATAAATTTCTTGATAATGATGAATTATTCGAATGTGACAATAATATGGAAACACTCGAGGAGGAATCTGATAAGCCTATTCCTTCGGGTTCAAGTAATACTAAAAAATATACAAATTGTGTCATTATTGACAATGGCAATGATCCAAACATAATCCAAAGATGCAATAAAGAAGCAGTTCGAAGTGTAAAACAACTGTGTGGCACATGGAAGATCGACGTTCAGGCCGTAAAAGATGCTGAGAATGAAGGTATAAAGCTGGGTGTTTGTACGCAACATCACAACTATGATCAAAAGGTTTTACATAATGGTATAAAATCAACATTATCAATTAAAGAAAGCAATATTAGTACGCGTCGCTGCTTATTTTGTAATAAATTTAAAAGGTTTGTTACAAGAGGTAAAACATGTTCATTACATATGCGGAAAGTTTATGATCGAATTATTCAAGTACCATGCCGTGGGTTGCTAGAATGCCAGCAATTAATAATTATGAGGGACTATCAACCAAATCATTGGATAACAGCCACCTTCGTTTTGTTTGCACTGACTGTTTTGTGATAAATGGGGGTCATCTACATATTCAAAAAAAAAAAGATAATCAATCTTGTCTAGAAAAGAGAAAACATAATGCCGATATTACAGCTGCTTTAAAATTATTTAGTAGGTGGATTGAGCAAATTGCTGAATCAAACAACGACATTAATAAGATTAATTTATTAAAAGAACTTATTAATCTCTTTAATAACATTACCACAAATACTTCTGAGTCACAAGATGCTATTACTATGCCTTCTACTATTTATACTGATTCCGTAGTTCCTAGTCTTTTCCTAATTAAAACATTGTTTGAACTAAAAAAAATTAAAATTAATGAAGAGACACAAGCAACACAATTAAAACCCACCACGTGTAAAGACTTTGGCAAAATTCTAGCTCGCTCTATATTACAAGAACGATCTAATCTCAAACAAAAACTATCATCACTTGAAGAACCGGAATCATTAGATGAATATTATGACGCAATGCCGTCGCCCCTTATAAACTTCTTTTTTGGGTTGATTACAACCCTAAAAGAAAAAAAGAATCAAGTCTTAGCAAGAAAAAGAAAAGAGCGTGGCTTAACGCCACCACAATTAGATAAAAAACAAGCAAAAACAGTCACTCTTTTTTTTGCATCAGTAATACTTACCATTGCATTTCCTCAGTGGAAAATTTGGTTTACACACGTGCTTTCTTCTCTTTGTCAACGGCCAAGAATGATAGGATCCTTATATAAAGTTCTTCATGCAGTCCAAGTAGTGGCATATGTTAGAGGTCATGAAACACGTCTTCGAAATAAGCGAATGTCAGATGCAAATCCAAAATCGAGGCTTAATCTAAATCCAAATGTTTTAAACTATGCCGTTATAGATAACATCGATATGAAGGACAAGACCTTCAAGTATGGAAATATTTATGATGTAGTCCGTGGTACTGCACATGCAACACTGCGGATGGTCTTTCAGTTCCAACGTTTAGAGACTGCCGATTTACCTAGTTAATTGCCAGAAATCAAAGATATTTTTGGCATAAGTCCTATTATAGAAGAATGGCAAATAAAAATAGATGCAATTTTTAGTCAATTAATTAGCCAAGAGTCAAATTTGGGTATCGAATATGTTGATGCAGCTATTAGAAAGGAAATAAATTCAGCACCATTTGTAGCACCTCCAAATATCGTGATTCTTGAAGCAGGAGAAGTACCAAGTAAAAATGACTACGTTCACCAAGCCGTCGACATGTATCTGAAAGATTTCGGGTACACAGAGAATGGTATATTAAATTTGGTATGCGATGAAGCAATATATTCTCGCATGAAAGACTACAGTAACGAAGAACAGGAAGTACACTGTATTCTAGGACAATGGCATACAAACAAGGTGATGTGTAGCGCATTAGTTTCTGGTTTTTCAGGATATGGGCTTTTTGGACTTGCTGCACAGCTTGGTGTTAAGTTTCTTGATAAATTCGAGCAAGTTGCTGATTATCGAGCAACATTTCGAGTACTTGAGCATATTTGGGTTGCGGTTGGGATTGCGATTCATCTATATTCTCAAGAAAAAAATATTTCTGTTAAAGACATTCCAAATGAAGACAATAATATAATAAAAATATGGTATAAATTTTATCAATGGGCAGGATATTTAAAATTACACAAGCTTGGTATTCGCATGGCAAACTTTGATTTGCAAATGCATAGCTTGATGGCATTCGCCCCTGTATTTCCAATAACAGGGAAAAGAAGATATGCTGAGTCTGTGGCACGATTTTTGACGGATCTTCAAACCAATCCGCAATTTCTTCAAGACCTTCGAAGTGTACCCTCAATTAATATGACTCAGGAGGGACATTATTTTGCTTTTGATGAGGCTTTAGAGACATTTGGTGTTAAATTTGTAAAAGAAAACATGAACCGGCCAAACAATTAATTTGGATAATCTAAAAAGAAATATCAAAGCAGCACAAGCAGAACATGAACGACTTAACTTTTTAATTTCAGAATTTACTGGTGATAAATCAGTAAGCAAAAGCCCACGGTCTGTTAAGGATCGTCGAGATGCTCTTTGGACATTAGTTAAAGAGCTTGAATCCGGATTTAGTAGCCTACAGCCAGAATCACACAACGTATTTGCAGAAACCACACAATTGACAGATGCTGGCTATTAGCGAATGTTTAGGTGTTATCAATCAGAAATTAATAGAATGACTATGATTGTTGAACAAGATATCCAACATATTACTCCTCGTGTAAAAACTGGTCGTGGTAAAAGAGATTTGATACCTATGAGTGCGACAAAAAGAAAACGTGAAAGATAATCAATCAGTTAATATTGATACAATAAGTAGTGGTTCCACACAAGTTTCAGAATCATATAACATGGAAATTGATAATACAAATGAGGGTTTACAACCAGTAATATTGTCTTCGACTGAACAGTCTTCTGGCGCCACATCTCGAACGCCACGTACAAAACACAAACCCCAACCTATTGAAGAAATTATTCTGGAACAACTTGAAAGATATGGGGATTCTACCGTATTACCTAAAGAATTTGTTGTTAAGTTAGAAGCAGAATTATCACATCATACTGATTATTGGACACCAAAGCGAATTCGTGATCGGTGGTATAACCGATATAAAAGATCGAACTAACTTTTTTTTTTTTAATTAATTGTTTGATTATATAAATTATTAAATTATTATGTATTATTGGTATTAAATATAACAAAGAATAAATAAATTTAATAAAATATTTTACCTTAACGGAAATCTATATAGTATAAAACAGTTTTTTTCGATTTTCTCTAAACTTTTATAACACACCACCCTTTCAAGGATGCATTTTGCTGAAAGATCTTGCTCATGCGCACCTAACAAGGCCTTTTTTATGTTAAGATCTTGAAAACTGAGCAAGAATCTTACGAAAGAAGACAAAATGGCTGCCATCTTTGAAGGCGTCGCATGTTACAGAGAAATATTGGTTCTTAACGTTTTTTATACTGTTGTGTTTGTAAAAACTCCAGCATTAACGTTATTTAAAAGAAGTTTGAGTATTTTAACTAAGACTTTAGACGAAAAACCAAAAATGTAAATTCGTCGATTTGTGTAATTTGTGAAGATCATATGAAAAATTTTTATGTGTGACATGTTGATCAACTGATATATAATTTTGATAATAATAAATATTTATTATGGTATGAAAAATTTTGATCGGTGCAAAAGGTAAATTACCGGAATGACACGGGTTTTGTACTTTCGGCACTATGAATTTTTTTTTGGTATTCCAAAAATAGGGTCAAACTGTCTGTGAAATCCGTGAAATTGAGGTGTCTTTAATTTAATTATTATACAGTATATTGTACAGTACATAATGCGATCTAGATAAGCTTTATAAAAGTATCCATCTTTTGCTTGATGAATAAATCTTTATTGATTCCTATTAATTTTGCATTTTTTTGCATTTTTTTGTTAACAAAAGTAATAATGAATATTACTTATATTTAATAATATTATTATCATCATTACAAAGATATTCAGCATATGCTTGACAGCATCACCTATTAATGATATCATGGGTTGTAAATGATACCGAAGTACCTGCATTATTAGAACTTGAGAAAAAGCTTACTACGATTGATGAAATATTAAGACAATATAAACTTTGTCAAGCTTTGGAGAAACTTAAAAAACAATAGTATAATTGTCAATACAGTAAACCTTTCTAAAATCGAAGATTTGCTAACCTTTCCTGAAATAAGCCCATATAAGGATTTTCTATATTTTAAAAAAGCAAACAATTCCATAACGATAAGTTAATTAAAATACGTATAGTTTTGATGAAATTGCTGCTATAGCTGAAACAATTAGTCCACGAGGTGTTAGGGTGTTCGATGTAAATCAAATCTATATATAGTCTCATTAAAAATCAAATTGAAAGTAATCTATTTTGTCACCGGCATGACAGGGTTAGAAAAGAAGGTCATAGTCATAGTAAAATTGTGCAATGAATATTTTTGTTAAGACACGGAAGTTGATTTAATAGGCATAATTTTGAGTTATTTTTATTGAAAATTTTGAGATTCTTTAACTCTCGGCTACAAGTAGATTCGCCCCATATTTTATTAACAATGGTCAAATGGTTTTTAATACGTAAATACTTAGCAGAAACTTGATTTTTTGCCATTTATGATTATCATATGATAGTTATATAACTATTATATGATAAAAATATATGGGCTTGGTGCTACAGAAAAGGGGAAATCAACAAAACAAAAAGATCTTCAGAAGATCTATTTTTATGTTTAAAGTTTATATTTTCTTATGATTTATTATAAAATTTTTATTAATACAACTACTTTTGAGTTTTAAGTAAAAAATGAATCTAATCTTATTCTAAATTGATTTGTGGAAAAAAAATTTTTTTGAAAAGTTGTCGATTTCCCTCTTTTCTGTAGCACTCCGCCCATATAGAAAATATTTTTAATCTGTTAAGTTACTATTAACAATATTTTTATCATATTGTTAAGTGTTAAGATATTAGTAACATT